AAGGAATCTGGTGCCTAGATGTTTTTTCCCAACAGTTGGCCATCAAGTAAAACCTTATAATTAACCAATGAGATATATTTCATAACTTGAGAAACCCAAATCAAACAGAAACCCATTTTCAGGAGAAGACGCTCTATAAAAGACCATTCTACCTTATCGTAGGCTTTACTAATAGATGTCTTAATAGCCATAAATTTCTCTTTGCATGCATTATTAGTCTGTAATCCATGAAACATCTCATGAGCAATAAGAATGTTATCCAAAACTAATCTTCCCAAGACAAAAGCAGACTGCGTCTCTGAAATTAGGATAGATTGTAAACCTTTTAACCGCTGACATAACACCTTTGAAATTATTTTGTAACCAACATTTCATAAACTAAGAGGCCGTAGCTCCGTCATCCTATTTGGGCGAACTGTTTTTAGAATCAGACTGTCATATTAAATCTATCGTTTTAACTCCTTGACCTTAGAAAATACTTAATATTTTAACCATATCTTCTTTTACTACCGACCATGATTAGTGATAAAATAACGCGGTCATACCATCAGATCCTGAGGTTTCTGAATGCATCATAAACAGTGCATTTTTCACTTCCTCTTATTTTGCCAAAGCGGTCAATTTCCTGCTCTGATCCACCGTAATTAATTCTAGAATTTCCTCTAAAAATCATCAAAACCTAAGGGAGAGGTCGATTGGAATAGTTTCTCAAAATATTTAATTGCAGCTTCCTTAATTTTTTTTCAGAATTGGTCCAGTTACCTTCCTCATATTTTTTTTTTTTTTTTGACATCAAACGGCTGATCTATTACTCAAGAAACTTGAGGTGGTCTGGGAATCCAGACCGGAATAGAACAACCAACGTACACAAGCTTACGATAGAAAGACCTAGCTGTCTTAGCGAGAGAGTCAGATACATCATTCTGTAGTCTAGGAACATAAATAATCCTGAAGTCAGGGAAGCAGATCTTCAGAGTCTCCAGCTTTTCCAGCTCTGTTGAGAAGTTAGGCCATGCCTGAGGATTCTTAAGCATCTCAATCATCTCCTTGCAATCAGTTCGAAAGCTCTGACATGGCGAATGTTGAAGCATAATCTCCATTGCCCACCGCAGTGCTACCAACTCTGAATGTAACGCCGATTCCACTCGATCAAAATTGCGCAGCCCCATTAACTCACTATTTCCGAAATTATCATTCAACACCCATCCACAGCCACTGAAAATATTTGAAGAAGTCCAAGAACCATCTACCATGCATGTATTGTCCACACTTAAGGTTTGGCTTTCCTCTGTTCCATTCCCAATTGATACCGGGATTTCCTGCTCATTTGCTTTGAACCATGCTTGACATTCGCTTTCTGCATAACGTGCAACCTCCAATGGATCCCTATCAATACCTCTGAATAGTTTGTCATTCCTAGACTTCCAAATGTACCAGATTAGCCAAGGATAAGGATCTCTGTCCAATTCCGGTTCCATTATCACATTCTTCCTCCAGAACAAATAATTCATATTCGCGTACGTGCTTTGTACAGGGAACAAAGCGGGACTGGTAGGCGTGGATGATAGTGCCCAAACTTGTAGAGCAGGTGGGCATTCAAATATTGCATGATTAATCGTCTCCTCAGGTTCCCCACAACGAGGACAATGGTTGTCACATCTCATATGTATGTAGTTTAAGATGCTCGTAACTGCAACATGTCTTGTTATCAGCTGCCACATAAGGTGACAAATCTTTTGAGGGGCTCTGACCTTCCAAGCATGTGCTTGGAGTTTAGTGATACTAGGCTCACATACTTCTGCTTCCTCTTCCTTCCTCAAGATATTCCGTGCTACCCAGTAACCAGATTTTACTGTATACTGACCATTCCTCGTATAGCTCCAGCAATACGTATCCCGTCGATGCGTGGAACTAATGGCCATACTCTTGATCAATGGTATATCATCTGCCGCAACATAATCTTGTAATCGCCTATCATCCCAACTCTTTGTTGTTTGATTAATCAAGTCACTCACTCGCATATTTGGATGCATGACCGGTGCCAGGGGAGTTGCTGATCTCGCAGGTATAGTGGGAATCCAAGGGTCATCCCAAACTCTCACTTCGTAGCCTGAGTGTACTTTTTTCTGAGTCCTAGTAATAACAGCTTTCTTCCGGCCGAAATGCTTGTCCACACATATGATGGGCTGTTCGCATTAATTTGACGCAACGGCGTACTCAATCTATAATAACGATCTCTCAAAACACGAGCTACCAGAGAATCCGGGTTCTGCACCAATCTCCACATTTGCTTCGCAAGAAGCGCAAGGTTAAACTCATGAATCATCCTAAACCCAATTCCACCTTCTTCTTTGGGAAGGCACATTTTGTCCCAAGTCCACCAATGAATACCCCTTTTTTGCGGATTAGAGCTCCACCAAAACTGTGCAATGGCACTAGCTAAATTCTCACAAATCTCCAATGGAAGAAGAAAACAAGACATTACATACGTCGGAAGAGCTAGGAGTATTGATTTTATCATAACTTCTTTCCCGCCTTTGGAAAGCCATCTGCAAGTCCACCCATACACTCTATTTCTCAGCTTGTCCTTGAGAAAAGCAAAAAGCTTGCATTTTGATCCACTGATATCCTCTGGTATACCTAGGTATGACCCCATTCCACCTTCATTCTGGATCCCAAGCGTGTCTTTAATCTCTTGTCTCACATCCTGGCATATTCTTTTACCAAAGAGTAAAGAAGACTTATCAAAATTGATACATTGTCCTGAAGCTTGACCATAAACCTTGACCACTTTCATTACTTCTTCACATTCACGGGGCTCCACCTTACAGAAAAACAGACTATCATCAGCAAAGAGAAGGTGGGATACCGAGGGGCAAGCACGCGTGATGCGCATCCCCGTTATCTTTCCTTGGCTCTCTGCGTGATTTAGAAGGCTAACGAGCGCTTCCGTGCACAGAATAAAAATGAAAGGGGACAAGGGATCCCCTTGTCTTAGTCCTCTCTCCGGAATGATATGTCCTCTTGGCTGTCCATTCATGAGGACCTTATACTTCACTGATGTAACACATCTCATTATCATAGTACTCCAGACTTCAGAAAATCCCATTTTTCTCATGGTGGCCTCAATGAAGGACCATTCCATCCTATAATATGCCTTGCTCATATCAGTTTTGATAGCCATCCTCTTATTCCTGCCACTCGGTTTTGTTCTTAGAGCATGAAACAACTCCTGAGCTATCATAATGTTGTCTGATATTTGTCTCCCAGCAACAAAGGCTGACTGGGTTTCTGAGATCCTGTCTGGTAAAAACTTTTTCAATCTCTAGCATAAGACCTTAGAGATAATCTTGTAGCTAACATTGCATAAGCTAATAGGCCGTAATTGGCTCATCTTGTTTGGCTTATCCACTTTGGGAATGAGACAGATGTTCGTATCGTTTAAACCATTCGGCACCGTTCCCTCAAATAGAAATTGATTAACCATAAGAGTTAAATCTTCCTTGACAATATCCCAGAACTTTTGGTAAAACAACGCCGTCATCCCATCCGGTCCCGGAGCTTTCTCCGGATGCATCGCAAAAAGAGCCAATTTAACCTCCAATTCAGTAACTGGAGCTGTTAGAGACTCATTATCAGATAAAGTAATTGTGGCTGATACTTCAGAGAGTGCCTCCTCTATTGCCTCAGGGTTAGATGTTTGAAAGAGGTGTCTGAAGTAATTTGTAGCAATGGCTACTAATCCTTCCTCATCTTCCACAACATTTCCATCTGCATCCAGTAATTGGGTAATCCTATTCCTTGCCCGCCTTTGCTTCGTAAGGCTGTGAAAAAATTTGGTATTCCTATCCCCCTCTCGCAGCCAGAAAATTCGACACTTTTGTTTCCAGAACATCTCCTCCGCCTTAAGAGCGTCAGATAGTTCCTTAATAGCTGCCGCAGTCTCCTCTGTAGTGGCATCATCATTTGAAGATAATCTATCCACCTTTTCCTTAAGCTCCTCCACTGATTTCTCGGAATTCAGATTATTCTGCCTTTTCCATTCACTTAATGCACGCCGGCAGCTCGCAATGTGCTCCATTATACTTGCATCTGGTGGGAGGTCAGGTGATTTCCAGCCTTCAAGTATAATTTTCCTGAGATCATCGTTATCCAACCATCTCTTGTCAAATTTGAAATTCTTTGATCTCCTAGGTTTCTTTTTAAGAATGTCAGCTAGGACCAGACGATGATCCGATCCCCATAATCTCAGATACTTCACTTTGAAATGAGGGAACTTCTCAAGCCAGTCCTCATTCCCAACGGCCCTATCAAGGCGGCACCGAACTGTCTTCCTCCCTGCTCTATTTCCAACCCACGATAGCATGTTACCAGTGAAGGGAAATTCCAGCATACCACAATCACTTAACATTTGCCTGAAAGGCAAAAAGGAACTATCTGTGCATTGTCTACCACCTTCCTTCTCCTCATGACAGGTTATTTCATTAAAATCTCCTATCATAAACCAAGGTCCGGTCCTAGATGTTGAGAAACGCGTAAGACGTTCCCAAACTAAATCTCTTCTTTCTATAACAGGATCCCCATAAACAAATGTCATGTAGACTTTTATTCCATCAATGACTGCCTCAATGTCAATCATTCTGTTATTTGAAAATAAAACATTAACTTGAAAATCATCCATAAAAAATAAAGCTAAACCTCCGCTGAGACCAAGTGGCTCAACGGTAAATAAACGTCGGAACCGTGGTCGTCCGTCTCCGGTTTGCCGGCCGATCAAATCCTAAGTCGGCCTGAATGTCTTGCAACAGCAGCCTTCTGTTCTTCGTCTCAGATAGAAACACAAATCCTGGGCGATGTTTCTGACACATCTCTGTTAGGCGTCGAACTGTGAGGTCGCTTCCAATCCCTCGACAGTTCCAACTGATTGTCCTCATGGATGGAGTGGGATAAGTTTTTGGAACCCATCGAAACCTCATGTGATTTAGACACGTCTCTTATCCTTAATGGCCCTTGCCTAGGGCGCTTCCTCGACCCTCTAACTTCCCTGGAGCTGGACTTTGATCGTTTACTTGGAGAACCCCTACGGAGGAACTCGAACTTCTTGGACTGAATGCCCAAAGGTACATTAGACCCTCCTCCATGACTTCTACCGCGACCAGATGTGCTTCCTGCCTGTACTTCCCTGTTCACATTATGTTCCGGTTGTGAACCGTTAGTAAATTCCTCAGCCTCCCTTAGCTCCTCCCTTAGGAGATCATCTTCATTAAGCATATCCTCGTTCTGCTCCAACTCCATCATGCCATCACCCTGATTATCCATATTGTCCATATCATTAAGAGCTCCAATCATTTGCTCCTCTCCATCTAGATCCTGGTCATCATCATGTGAGAAACATAATGATTTAGTAACCCCCTTACTCCTTGTTTTTACATAACTCCTCATTATTTCTTCGTCAGCTGTTGGCGTGACAATCTTACTCGCCAAACGTTTGGTCTCAGGAGCAGTACCATTAAGAGTACTCATGCACGAACCATCCTCCTCGCCATTGGTTCGGGAGGTGTGAGTTTCAGTTGCTAAAGCGTGATCAACACCACCACTTCTGATAGCATGCTGTCGTGATACGTGTGTCTGATGCTTGTTCGCAGGTTGAGCCACAGACGAACTAAGATTGCCATCATTAGCAGATGTAGCCTTCTCTTTTATATTCCAATGTTGCTCGCTTCTCCGGTCACTTCTCCGGTCATAGGGACCTGAAGAGTATCGCGTTCTGCCATTAGTCGAGCCTCTATACCTATCATCTCGTCTCATTACCCTGTCTGAGCGTCCCTGTCCGCGTCTATGCTCCACCACAGGCTGATGTTGCACTTGTCGGTCTTGTCCAGAGGTAAAAGATGGGCCACGACGGTGATAGTCAGGTTGCTGAATCAACCGTGTGCCATTGGAGGGACTTTGCATACGGGAAAACACTCCCCCAGCACGTTCCATGGGAGGCTGCAATCTTGCTTGAATGTCACGTGACGGACAATACGCCTTTTCATGAGTCATCAAACCACAAGTCTCACAATGCTTAAAGAGCTTATCATACGTTATTGTAATGGTGAATTCATCCCCCTCTGACGTTTGCACTTTCCGTGAGAATTTCAGTGGCTTACGGGAGTCTATTTCTATGAGCATACGACCCTCAGAAAGCTCCAATGTATCCACATGACCAAGCCTATCGCCTACTTCACGTAAATTTCGATCAGTCCATAAGTGTAATGGAAAACCAGTTATCTGGACCCAAAATGGGATTATCCATGGATAGTCATCATGAACAACCGGTGTCCATCGAACCAATAAGAAGATACAGAAGTTATAATGGAAGAGACCCTGTCAAAGAACAGAGTTTAAGTCCTACTCATTGTTGAAGTTCAAAAGGAACTTTCCATTCCCTAGATCATTGGCAATAATTTTATCTTCCATTCCCCACTGTCCAGACATCGTTTGAATGAGCTTCTCAACCTTTTGTTTTCGAGGGTTGAGTATCTTTCCGATCAGTGAAAGGCGGAAATCTTTTATCACATTTGCGTCTTCTTGAACCGAGAGCTTGATGGGGCTCATCATCATCTTCCTCGAGTATACGCTTCCTTCTACGATCCTCTTGATTATCTGATGGATATCTAGTCAAGACCATTATCGGCGAACGAAAGAAGAGGTAACGTTGCTTTGTACTGAAAATACCGGAACAAAGATTCCTGGTGTTAAATGCAAAGCGTGTAGAGCAGCAAAGTATGATTGCAGAGCGTGTCTAGATCGCGCACAAGGATGTCCGATCCAAAAATACAGAAGGAACAAAGTTGCTTTTGTTCGTTTTACCTTCCTCATTATATAGCCTAATAATTATATTCTGAATATATTTTTTGTATAGCAAAATTTAAAATTTCTGTATGGAAATAATAACACCTTTTTAAACAGATTTATTGATTTGACAAAAGAAAAGAACAGATTTATTGATACACATTAGAGTTACTCGACGAACAGATTTATAGAAAATAACATTTTCCTTTGATCTTGGAGTCCTCAAATATTTAAATTTTTCTCATGACAATTCTTCTAAAAATTATTGTTGGCAGATGAGATGAGGCGTGAACGGATCATATAATACCCCTAAAAAAATCAAAACATGTGGTCCTGTTATGCCAAAACAAACTAAAGTTTCACGTGAAGTTGGAAAGAGAGAACATTAAAACAGATTGCAATTATTAAGAGGTATTACCAGAGAAGCAAGATGGGCTGCATTGGTCTTATCAATTTAACAAGTATCAATATTAATCGGCCGGTGCTTACAAAATCAGCAAACAAACCCTACATCACAAGAGGACCATCGATGGCTGCGATTCGAGCTGAGTCAACGGCTACTGAGAATTTAGGGATCTTTATTGAAAAGAATCCTCCAGAGTCCAAACTCACCCAACTCGGTGTTCGTAACTGGCCCAAGTACGCCCTTCTTCGTCTTTAGTTCTTTATTCGAACCTAAATAGTACACACAATCATCAAGCTTTATCCTTTTTGTTTTCCGGACATAAAAGTTGTAGCCTTTTTTCTTTCTCTGGAAAAGATGTCTTTTAAACTTTTTTGTTTTTGGTTGTCGAATTCAACCACCATTGATATTGGTGGGTAAAATTTGATGGCACAGGTGGGGTTGTCCTCCAAGTAAGTTTCCATGGACTTACGATGCAACAGAGACTTGTTTTCTGCTAGAGGGGAAAGTGAAAGTGTACCCTGATGGGTCCGATGAAGGCGTAGAGATTGAAGCAGGCGACTTTGTTGTTTTCCCTAAAGGAATGAGTTGCACTTGGGACGTCTCTGTTGCTGTTGATAAACACTACAAATTTGAGTGAATGGCTATCAGTTTCTGTGACAATGTTTGATATACTCGTAACTCTTTGTATGTTGATGGAAACTTTATTTTGTGTGTCATGTATCTATCTATGCATTGCTGGAATTTAATTGCTTCGATATCTAAGGGATTTCTCCTGTTGCTGCCATTTCCTGCCTGATCCTCATATACCTAAGTGCATAGGTTGGAGCGTAGAGGATTTAGGGGTTTAACTGTTTCGGTATGTTTCTTTTGGCTGCGTAGGACATGCTTTGAGTATGAGACTATTCGAGGATTTTGGTTAGAAATCTTTTGCCATTTATTAGACTTTTGTGCGTGACATGTCCCAGGATAAGCAGATCAAGTAAACCAGAGAAATTACAGATTAACAATATATTTGTTCATGAAATCTATCTTATTAAAACAGAAACATCACAACTTTTTCTAGGTAAGATTTTTAACTTGGACTTCACATTATTAATGTAATATTATATGTTTAATTAGTCTAATTATGATATGATATGATATTTTGCAGGTATCTATTCTTTAGAAAATTACTGATATTTTAGTATCTTATAATTAATAAGAAAATAATATATTTCACGTTTGGGATGTCAGTCATATATCCGCATTCAACTATTAAACTAGAGTTTGACCCGCGTTTTCCAAACGCGGATTTATTTTCGTGACAAACCAAATAAATTTGATATGAATCTGGGTTTTATTATGTAACTACATTTAAATGTTACAAAACCTATTATATTTTTGAAATTATTACCACTTTAATGTTTTGATAGACATAATTTTTCTTATGGAATATGTAATCAAGTTTTAGAATGACACGCAAATATACAAATATAGACGCTCATCAGGTTAATATAAGCACTCATGCTTGAATACAATCAGAATATTTATTGCATTTATTAGAATTTTAAATTATTAACGTAATTATTTAATAATATTTTATCTGAAAAACGAACCCTGAACCTAGCTGAAGTCAAACTCGATTAGAGCAGCCTATATTTCGAAGGTTTAAATTCCTATATCAAAAGACAAATACTGATATTTTTGTGTTATAACTTTATTCGTTGTTTAAAGTATGAATCAAATTTAAACTTAACGTTTGTAAATTTATGATAAAACTTGAGAGTTGGGATATTTTCAAATTTTATTGGGAAAATTGTCAAATATGACTCAAAACTTGATTTGAAATGCAAAACTAAACCCAAACTTGAATCAAATGAAAAAGTAACTTAAAAGACTGTTGAAATTACAATCAACCCCTTGTGAAGAAACAAAAAAAGAGTTTTTTTTTACGTTTCTAGCCCTCGCAAGTCGTCTGCCCAGACGACTTTAAACTAAGTCGTCCAGACGACTTAACTGAAAGTCGTCTGCCCAGACGACTTAATTGAAAGTCGTCTGCCAAGACGACTTTAAACTAAGTCGTCCATTGTAAGTCGTCTGGGACAGTTTTTCTTAAAAATAATTTAAAAATTGTGTAATAAATATCTTGATAAATGAAAAATTGGGATTCTGTAATTAACATATGTCTTAAGCGATATAAATTAAGATATAAAAAAAATCAGTCGTTTTCAGCATAGATGAGTGAAAGTAGTGAGTGATGATATTCTTTAGTTTAGGTTTCACCAACATATGTTGTAGTATTGTATGTGTTTCTTAGGGTTAGAAATTCGAAAGCATAAATGTTTTTTGAAAACTTTAAAATTTACCTCAGTGTGTTTATTTCTATGTATAGTAAACAATATTTAAATATAATTTGATTTTATAACATAGTTAGTAGTTAATTTAGTCAATTTAGTTTAGGGTTTAGGGTTTAGGTCTGGACGACTTATAATTAAGTCGTCTGGTAAATATATTTAATAAGGCAGATGACTTAGTCGGATCTATAGTATCAACAAACGACTTAATAATAAGTCGTCCAAACCGAATTTTACCAAATTACTTTTTAACCTAACCGAATTTTTGACCGGACATATATAAGAAGATTTTTTTTTTTACGCACTTTTCGCGAAATTCAGAAAACCCTAACGTCGTTTCTCTCAAAGGTGATTTCGAGGCGATTTCGCTCCAATACAAGACCAAGGTAAATCGAAGGCTTCTCTTGCAGATTGATGGGTTTTTATTAGGATGGATGTTGTTTTCCTTAACTTTTATCGTTTGGTTTTGTGTTTTCAACGATTTGGGGTAATTTTAGTTTCAAATTAGGGTTTCAAAAATTGGGGATTTCAATCGACTTGTTGTTCAGTTAGGTTGGATGTTGTTTTCCGCTCATTTTACGGTCATTTTAGGGTCGTCCACCTGGAAGTTCTACTGGAAGTCTTGGTAGACTTATAATTAAGTCGTCTGGAAAGTCTTCCACCTGGAAGACTTTCCAGACGACTTAATTATAAGTCTACCAGGTGGACGACCCAGACGACTTAGAATTAAAATGTTTCCAATTCGTTTCTTGTTTGCAGATGGCGAATCAGCATGAACCTCACTTCTTGAAGCCTCTGCTTCCTGGTTTCTACAGTGGTGTGGTATACACACGCTCTCTATTTCTCTTATGTTTATTTCCTTTGCTTATCTTCTCCTTTGTTGACTTGTAGACAATACCACTTGCCTTCTACGCAAAACACATAGAAGGCACGCCGAACCAAGGAAAATGGACACTACGATCGGACGCTTCACACCAAACTTGGGAAGTTATACAAGAAGGAAGAAGACTCACCGATGGTTGGGAAGCCTTTGCCCAAGCACACTCCCTTTGCATCGGTGACACTCTCGTGTTCAAAAAGGAAGGAGACATGGTATTTCATGTGACTCCTTTCGGTCCTAGTTTTTCTGAGATTCAATATACACCTCCTCAAGGGGATGATGCTGCGGATGGTGCCTCAACTTCCTCGTCTCTTCCTAAATGATGGATGTTTGTCTTGCTATCGTCTTATTGTAATCTGCTTCTAATGGACTTGTAATGGATGACTTCTATGTTGTTGTTCCCTTGTTTCAAATTGTTTTTAAACCTATGACTTGTAATGGATGATCAACTTTTATNTGCTATCGTCTTATTGTAATCTGCTTCTAATGGACTTGTAATGGATGACTTCTATGTTGTTGTTCCCTTGTTTCAAATTGTTTTTAAACCTATGACTTGTAATGGATGATCAACTTTTATAACTACAACTCCTTTTGTCCTCTATGTACAAACCATGGTAACACCAATTTTAATTATTAGTCGTCTAAGAAGTCTAACAAAAATTCTAACACAAATTCTTAAAACATACTCAAAAAGTCTGGACGACTTTGTAGACGACTAATATTTTAAGTCGTCTGGAAAGTCATCCAGCCGGAAGATTTGTCAGACGACTTAATTATTAAGATGACTTTAAACTAAGTCGTCCAGACGACTTAATTGAAAGTCGTCAGGTATAGTCATTCTTCAACATAATTTAAAAAATTTGTAAAAAATATTTAGATACGTGAAAAATTGAAATCATGTAATTAACACCAGTTTTAAGAGATATAAATTAAGATAGAACAAAATTTAATTATTTTTAACATAGATGAGTGAAAGTAGTGAGTGATGATATTCTTTGGTTTTGGGTTTTCCAACATATGTTGTAGTATTGTATGTGTTTCTTAGGGTCAGATTTTCGAAAGCATAAATGTTTTTTTGAAAAATTAAAAATTTACCAAAGTGTGTTTATTTCTATATATAGTAGACTCTATTTAAGTATAATTTGATTTTATAACATGGTTGGTAGTTAATTTAGTCAATTTAGTTTAGGATTTAGGGTTTAGGGTCTGGATGACTTATAATTAAGTCGTCTGGTAAAAATATGTAATAAGGCAGACGACTTTCGGATGTATAGTATCAACAGACGACTTAATAATAAGTCGTCCAAACCGGATTTTTCCGAATTACTTTTAAACCTAACTGGATTTTTACCGGACATATATAAGAAGATTTTTTTTTTTACGCACTTTTCGCGAAATTCAGAAAACCCTAACTCCGTTTCTCTCAAAGGTGATTTCGAGGCGATTTCGATCCGATACAAGACCAAGGTAAATCGAAGGCTTCTCTTGCCGATTTAATGGGTTTTTATTAGGATGGATGTTGTTTTCCTTTACTTTTATCGTTTGGTTTAGAGTTTTCAATGATTTCGGGAAATTTTGGTTTCAAATTAGGGTTTCAAAAATTGGGGATATCAATCGACTTGTTGTTTAGTTAGGTTGGATGTTGTGGATATTTTCATTTCAAATTAGGGTTTCAAAGATTGGGGATATTTTACGGTTAGCGTCGTTCTCATCGCGCTTCTTTTTTCACGTCTATTTTTGCAGTTCTATAACCGCTATGTCGAAGGCGAGTACATCTCCGAATTGTCAGGTCAGCTTTCAAATGTTCTACTGGAAGTCTTGGTAGACTTACATTAAGTCGTCTGGAAAGTCTTCAGGTGGAAGACTTTCCAGACGACTTAATTATAAGTCTTTCAACTGGAAGACTCGACAGACGACTTAGTTATAAGTCGTCTGGAAAGTCTTCTAGACTTATAATTAAAATGTTATACTGGATGGTTGTGTGTTTGAGATGGTTTTCTTTGATATTTTTGCAGAATATTCCCGAACTCCCCCGTATGATACATACACTAGGGCATGAGCCTGTCGCTCAGCATAGCATTACGTATCATCCGTCTTTGAAGTTGTATACTACTCTAAGGGATGCTCTTAATGATGAAGAATATGAAGAGCTGAAGGAGTCTAAGTTGGGAGTTTTCATCAAGTTCTAAGAGCTGGATTTTGAATGGGCTTCAAGGCTGGTTCACTACATACTCTGTTTCCAGCTCGACATAAAGAAGAAGTATGAGCTGTGGAGTCTTTCTGGTCCACAACCTTTGAGGTTTTCACTGCTCGAGTTTGAATACCTCACTGGTCTAAAGTGCGAGTACATTCAGGACATTGAGAGACCAAACTGTCCTGTTACGAAGGAGTTGGTTGCTTTCTGGGAGTTGTTGGGAGTTAATGTCGAAGCTGGGCCAACTAGAGATCAGATAATAGATACATTTCAGAGATGCGAAGACTGGTCTCCGGATGATCGCAAGCGGCTCGGGTACCTTGCCATCTTGGCTGGATACATTGAAGGGAGGAA